GCTATGGGAAAGAGGCAGAGTGAAGGAAGAGGTGTCAAACACAAGGGAGAGAGGAGCAGAAAAGGAAAATCAATAGGCAGAGGGAGAAAAAATAAAAATAAAATAAGGGTGACACAAACATCTTCTTTCTTTTACTGCATTCTTTTTTCTTTCACAGTTTTGCAGTTTTGGTGAAGAGTCTACCACGTTCATTTTTCAGCGCACCTGCACTTCCTTCTTCATTTTTTATTCTCATTTTCACCCTCCGGACTTTTTCTTTGAGGGTGTTAGGGTGCAGGGTACAAACAAAATAAAACGACACTAACTTATGTTCTTCTTTTACTGAAGTCTTCACTGTTTTGCAGTTTTAGTGAAGGGTTTCCCACCTTTGCACATTCTTGTACACTCTTTTCAGCGCACCTGCTCATTTTTGTCAGGGTGCAAGGTACGTCTAAGTAAGACCCTCACGACAGATAGGACAACTATCATGAGGATGCGGGCGATGGTAGCAGCCCTCCCGGTGATCTATAGGACGAAAACCATTCAGGTAAGCAACTTCGTCACAGCAGGAACCAGGACGGCTAGCATCGACCATACCTCTGAAGCATGCACGGCAGAGGGCATGCCGGTTGCAGGCCATGACCATTGTGGGGCGTTCACCATCACAGTTAAGTGCACATTCGCTATAGCGCCCGTAGGCAGTCTTCACTGTTTTGCAGTTTTAGTGAAGGGTTTCCCACCTTTGCACATTCTTGTACACTCTTTTCAGCGCACCTGCACATTTTTGTCAGGGTGCAAGGTACGTCTAAGTAAGACCCTCACGACAGATAGGACAACTATCATAAGGATAAGGGCGATGGTAGCAACCCTCCCGCTGATCTATAGGACGAAAACCATTTAGGTAAGCAACTTTGTCACAGAAGGAACCAGGACGGCTAGCATCGACCATACCTCTGAAGCATGCACGGCAGAGGGCATGCCAGTTGCAGGCCATGACCATTGTGGGGTGTTCACCATCACAGTTAAGTGCATATTCGCTATAGCGCCCGTAGGCACAGATGGGACATACTGCATCTGGATGAAGAGGATGTTCACAATCCGGATACAGGTGGCATCCCTGCCGACAGCGGGCCCGAAAAATTATATGGTTGTAGTGATGTCGACAAAGTCGATGCTTTCCACAACCAAGTGTAACTGTGTCAGTGATCTCACAAAGAAGGAGGTCACAAGGTGTTAGTGCAGCATGCGGGGGAATGAAGACTAAAGCAGGCACGGTGACAGACATGGAGGTAGGCACGGAGACAGACACAGAAACGGGCATGGAGACAGACACAGAAACGGGCATGGAGACAGACACAGAAACGGGCATGGAGACAGACACAGAAACGGGCATGGAGACGGGTGCGGAGGCAGGCACAGAGACAGGTGCAGAGGCAGGGACGAAAGTACACGAGGTACCTATAGGGTCAGTAATCTGGAAGGAGACAGACATAGAAACAGGCACAGAGACAGGTACGGAGGTAGGCACAGAGATAGGCGTAGAGGCGGGCATGGAAGTACACGAGGTACCCATAGGGTCAATGACCTTGAGCAGTTGCAGGTTAGGGTAATTACGCACGAGATCACAGATGGCAGTAATAGTTTGCACCATAGCACCGCCATTCCATAATTCCCAAGAACCAGAGGCACAGACAAGAGCGGTGTAGTGGCCAGGAGTATGTAGAATATAGGCACAAACGTGCGAACAGTGGTCCGGATCGCCACCCGAAGGGGCACGCTGTCCGTGTCTCTGGTTCTTGGAAATTATGGAATGGCGGTGCTATGGTGCAAACTATTATATATATATATATCGCGTTGTTGTGGCCAAGAGTATGTAGAATATACCGTTGTATCGCCGTTGTGTCGCCCTTGGAACACACCGAGACCAAGGGCGACACAACATATGCGGTGGTTACGGGTGCCATGGAGGAACACACCGAGACCAAGGGCGACACAACGGCTGCGGTGGCCACGGATGCCATGGAGGAACACACCGAGACCGAGGGCGATATATATATAATAGTTTGCACCATAGCACCGCCATTCCATAATTCCATAGTTTGCACCATAGCACAGCATGCCCCTTCGGGTGGCGACCCGGACCACTGTTCGCACGTTTGTGCCTATATTCTACATACTCCTGGCCACTACACCGCTCTTGTCCGTGCCTCTGATTCTTGGGAATTATGGAATGGCGGTGCTATGGTGCAAACTATTATATATATATATATAAAATATATATATCTTTTTTTTTTTTTTTTAATTTGGTAAAGAATTTTGATGTGACCCTGAGGCGAGCATTGTTCAGTTTATTTTTCTGCACAGCATAAGTTTTTTTCAGTTGTTGTTGTTGTTGTTGTTGTTGTTGTTGTTGTTGTTGTTGTTTGCTGGGACCTTCTATGGTCCTTGCACAGCTGGGGAGTCCGGGCAAACAAGGTGACCCGGTGGCCCAGGTGGTAGCCTAGTGTATTGTTACGTAATAAATACTAATAACGATAAAAGAAAATTACTCACCACAGTACAGTGTCATACAAGAGATGTAGAACAGAGGGATAGAAGTTAACACAACTTAACAGATCAACAGCAACCAAGAAAAAAACGACATGGCAGTTAGGGTGCTTACCAAGGGCCTGGCCTGCGGTTCTGACGTCTGAAATAATGTCAGCCAGGCACTTTGGACTCATAGTGACAACAACAGGGCGAGGCACCATTTCCCTGAACATTGAACATGGTCATGCCAAATTGTCAACCCACAAAACATGACGAGTGGAGCAACGACACGTACCAGTACCGTAGTTACTACCCTTAGACAAATCCCAGATTTAGTGCCCGCCCCCCCCCCCACCTCCCCCCTTTTCAATCATACAATCTTCATTGTTCTCATTTTCTCCTTCTTTTTACCTTTGACTGTTTGAGCCTTTGAGATCCTTTTCAACATTGAAGTATGTGACTCTACTTATTGATCGATGATTCTGCATACACACCTAGAGGTCCACTACCATGTGCCATAGCCTATTTAGGTCTCTTTTACTTCTGTAGTGAGCCTGCCTCCAGAAGCTAACATCATCATCATCATCATCATCAGGAATAATTCTTTTATTGAGGCAATTGCAGAAATAGTCAGAAATAGTCAGAAATACCCATTTTTCAATCTTTTCTGGCAAAATATAGAACCTTCACAACAATACCCTTCTCTCATGGCAGGAATACAGTTTCGATTGCAACAAGACCCTTCTTCCATGGAATTGCAGGAATACCCTTCTTCCATGGAATTGCAAAAAATAGTAAAATACCCTTCTTCCATGGAATGGCAAAAACACCCTTCTTCCATGGAATTGCAGGAATGCCCTTCTTCCATGGAACTGCAGGAATGCCCTTCTTCCATGGAATTGCAAAAATAGTAAAATACCCTTCTGCCATGGAATTGCAAAAATACCTTTTTTATCACAACAATACCCCTTTCCATGACCGGCTAGGTTGTGCAAGTATATCTTTTGGGACACATTTATACCACCAGTGCATTTGACCCATCCCATCCCAGCCCTGGAAACGCCCTGCGCACCCCAAAAAAACAGGAGCCAGCGCGGGTGTTCTTTAGGTTGGCGCCACAAGCCATTTTGCTCTGGTAGGCTGACCCCTGAAACTTCCTATCTATCTCTAGGTAAGATACAATTGGTCCAATGAAATCAGAGGAGCAGGGGAGTGTTTGCAACAACATTATGCTAACCCTTAAACCGCCAGTACATCGCCCAACATTGGCAAACTCTTGAGCATTGAAATCGAGCCAATCCGAAAATTTCAGGGGCTCAGGGCTACCGCACCAAAATGGCTGGCAGGGCCAGCCAAAAGAAAAGATAAGAAAAGAAAAGAAAAAGTGCCACATGCAATCTGACGTGTGGGCAAAGCTTGGCACGGAGAGGCAATCTGCCAAGCTCGACAAAAGAGAGGCTTGGACGTACGGGGGTGGTTTAATGATCTTCATTTCAAACTTCAAAGTCATACGTGTTTATGACCGCAGCCCGTCTTGCTAGCTTGCCGGACCAGCTATTGATTTTGAGCCTACATTTTCCCTGCGCACCACAAAAACAGCCGACGTGACGTGGGCCTGCTTTTGGCTTGGTACCGCCACCCATTTCAGTGGGGTACCCGAACGTCCAAAAAATGTGGCCGTTCACCGAGCCGCGACTTTGTTTTTCCACCGGGCCGACCTGCACGAATGGTGCAACATCTGGCCCGCTCTCTCCAAATGCGAAGGCATCATCATCATGGAGGGCACGAGCAGCCTCGCATGCGGCGAGTGCATAGCTGAGGTGTGTTCTACCTAGAAGCGCAGGGGTGGATGGGTACAAACTTCAAAGGGGTCTGCATGACTTGGCCGTCAGGGAGTCTGCAGTGCCGGTGGGAGGGAAGTGTCACTGGAGTACAATGGCAGTTTTGATGATAGAACATTTGAGGAGAGAATTAAAATCAGTGTGCGGGCGGGCACGTTTTAAACACCTCCATCTTTGGAGATTTTTCATTTTGTTTTGGCTTAGTCAAATTCCCTGAAAATTCATATATGTGTATCTCACATGATACACAACTCATTAAAAAAATAATAAAAAATAATAATTTTTTTCAGGCCCCGAAACAAAGTGAAAACAAAAAGAGAAAAGAGAAAAAAAACAAAATAGTGAGTGGGTGAGCACGTTTTGACACCGCCATCTTTGGCGATTTTTTTTTTTTTTTTTGGCTAAGCAAAATGATCTCAAAATTTAGAGGCATGTACCTCACATCATAGAGAACTCACAAAAAAACATTCAAGAAAAATAATAATTTTTAGGCCCCGAAGTATTTTTTGGCAGGGTCCGAACCTCTTCAGGTTCGGAGGGGTTCGGCCCCCAAACGGAACCCCGAACGCCCGAACGTACGGAGGTTGGCCCGGGGGCCTCCATACGTACGGGCTGGTAACCATGTCTATATATATTGTCACAGAACTATTGACTAAGAGCATGAGCATGTGAAGTAGAAGAAGAAATAAGATGAGCAAAGAAAAGAAAAATGAAAGGAACAGGCAAAGAGACAGACAAACCAGAATGACACTTTGTTTCACAGTATTATTATTTCTTTCAGTCTTTTACAAAAATTATTTACACTGAATCAAAGGATCAAAAACAAAGACACATTGAAATCATTCAGTTTCTCAGTCTTCTTAACGCCTCCTCCACTGTGCCTCTAACGTACAAGGCTCGCCACGTTGATGAAGTTGAGCGCGAGCTGCCCCCATCCCCGTATGCCATAACAGCCCACTTGCACGCTATGGGAAAGAGGCAGAGTGAAGGAAGAGGTGTCAAACACAAGGGAGAGAGGAGCAGAAAAGGAAAATCGATAGGCAGAGGGAGAAAAAATAAAAATAAAATAAGGGTGACACAAACATCTTCTTTCTTTTACTGCATTCTTCTTTCTTTCACAGTTTTGCAGTTTTGGTGAAGAGTCTACCACGTTCATTTTTCAGCACACCTGCACTTCCTTCTTCATTTTTTATTCTCATTTTCACCCTTCGGACTTTTTCTTTGAGGGCGTTAGGGTGCAGGGTACAAACAAAGAAAAACGACACTAACTTATGTTCTTCTTTTACTGAAGTCTTCACTGTTTTGCAGTTTTAGTGAAGGGTTTCCCACCTTTGCACATTCTTGTACACTCTTTTCAGCGCACTTGCACATTTTTGTCAGGGTGCAAGGTACATCTAAGTAAGACCCTCACGACAGATAGGACAACTATCATAAGGATGCGGGCGATGGTAGCAGCCCTCCCGCTGATCTATAGGACGAAAACTATCGTCACAAACAGAACTGCCCGGTAAACCGTAGGCAGAGAGAGAGAAGAGGACAACAAACGAGGGGCTGTCACAAACTGTTTCGTTGGAGTTTCACCGACTCATCAGGAGGCTGAACCCTCAACAGTCTGCAGAATCCCCTCACTGATTACACTGTAAATGATAATCTACCTTAACCAAAATCAAAGTAGACTATCACTCACCCACACCAGATGGAAAACTCTACAGACTGTCGGTTCACACCCCATCACAAGCCAGCAAAACATCCACGAAACAAAGAAAGGTCTGTCACAGCCAAAAAATACACTCCAGACACGCCGCTGGCACTAGAGGCACAGCATATATACATTGTCACAAACAGAACTGCCCGGTAAAACCGTAGGCAGAGAGAGAGAAGAATATATATATATATTGTCACAAATATATATGACGATATATATATATAAAATAAAATAAAAACACTGCAAACCAAAAGAATAAAACAGGTACTGATATATCGTCAAACAGAGCTGGCCAGTAAACCGTAGGCAGAGAGGAAGAAGAGGACAACAAACGAGGGGCACATCACGACTTACGCTCCTATGTTGAATGGTCCAGTGATCGGGGGTGGTTTGCCGCTGGGGTTGCTGTGAGAAGTTCATTCAACCTGAGATTATTATCATTTAACACAGGAAGGGGAAGTCGTAACAAGGTTCCCGTAGGTGAACATGTGGAAGGATCATTAAAATAAAAAATAAAAAAAAATAAAAAATAAAAAAATAAAAACATAATGAGAGCCGTAAATATGGATGTGCTCCTGCGGGCAAGTACTTACAGCAATGCTCTCACAGTTCTTTTTTTTTTTCTTTTCCTTTTTCTTTTATTAAGGTTAAGATAAGACATTGGCCTAATGGCTTGCGCACGAAGTGCCACAGAAATGGTCCACACCAGGTACCTGTTTACCCCATCATGTTCAGATATTTTCCAGACCGTCCACACTGCCTCCTCCTACGGCTGTATCGATCAACCAGTGTTAACTCGGCGATCAGAAGTAACCGTTCCAATAGAATCAGTAGTACACGATAAATCGACTGTTGCAAGAGAAATTGAATCACCTCTTTGACAGTGTTTGTTGATTTTTGAAGTTTTTCCTTTTTCCCAATCACCCCCCTGTTTTTTTTCATCAAGGGAGAATTGAGCGGAAAGGGTGAAGTTGGCGGTGAACTTACTTGGTGATTCGCCAGACCAGAGCACAATCGACAGCACAGATACTGCAGAGTGCTTGTGTGAAAATCACATCAGGCTGAAGGGCACGCAGCAGTTCCACGTCTATGGAATACAGACCCTCCCCATTGGCCAGCGCCTCGGTCACCGATGCATCCACCTCTGCAATCAGGTGAATACATCAAGGTACAATAGCGAAAATGATTTTCCCCCCGTTTTCCCTATTTTTTTGGTATGTTATTAACTTATTATTGTTTTGATTTTATTTATTTTTTTTCCTACTTCTTATCAGTTTTTTAAACAATGCCCCTAAAAAAGAACTCATTCCATGTGCCAGTACTGTACATTTCTTTTCAGAACTACCCCTCCAAAAAATGGCCGTCAGGAAGTTGCACCTTGGCATGAAGTGCTGAACCTTTCCTTTTTTCTTTTTTTTCTTTTCTTTTCTTTTCTTTTCTTTTCTTTTCTTTTCTTTTTTTTTGGGGGGGGGGTTCTACCGTTCTAGACCTTTCCGTTTCAGCAAAGGTTGTTGTTGTCAGTCACTCGGGATATACTTCACATCATGCAGTGTGTGTGAGACAGAGACATCCTTGTTACCTTCCACGAGGATGGATACCGCACCTGGCCTTCATAGCCTGAAAGGTTCATTCATGCCAGCATTTTTCTCCACTACCTCCTGTTTGACATCATCCTTATCAAATGACACTACAAGCTGGAATGTGTTAACCAACGCACAACAAAAGAAAGGCAGTGTCATTTGTTACCAACGGGCCTAGTGGGCCTAGCTTAGTTGGTACACCTACAAAAATAAGAGCTGAGTTCGAATCCAGATGGAACTAGATGGAACTGGTAAAAAAAAAAAAAAAAAAAAAAAGTTTAAAAAA